TGTTTTCTGTTCCAATCTCACAAAACCGGATATGGCTGATCCCACCATCGAACCTTAAGCTTGGTCCGTGTTAATTGTGTGATTTTGGGTGGGGGATTGATAGGGGCAGGATGAGGATGGTAGGTGGAGGGCAGTGGTACATTGAGTGACTTTATAAACTGTTTTTGCGCGCACAAGGGGGGATTATGTAGACGAATTCCAACCGCCTCTGTTGTGGCTAGGATGCGATTTTTAATCCGCTTTGATCTGCGACCCCGAACACAGTAGGGAGACCCATATGATTCAGTCACACTCACTGTGTGATCGGACTCGACGAGGTGTGAAACGATGGCAATTGTAATAGTCTTAGTCACACCAGTTTTCAGCCAAGCCGGATGATGTTCCCGAATTCGTGTAGATTGATGCTTGCTCGTGCAGCCGATACACGTTGCTCCACAGGAACACTTAAACTGGTACACACAAAATGAGACTGCAGAAGCAGGAATCCGGTCTTTGAGTTGCGAACACAAGATCGGTCTGGATGTGAATACGATTCGTAATTTTGCCGCGTGAGGTGTATTCTCCAACGCAGTTCCTAGTTTGCAGCTAACCAAATGTGCCATTGTATACCCTTTGAATGGGAGAGAAATGTATACTACCTTTTTCTCTGCACTTGAAAGTCTTTCTTAAAACGTCATTCACAACAGGTTCTGGCTGGATATTTTGTAGAAAAACCACGAATGAATGATAGGTCTGCATTTCTGGTGTCACGGGTGCATATTTTAACCGCCCTGTATGCACTGAATAAGATTTCTTTGTCATTTGAGTGGCACAAAGTTTCTGAAATTGATCTACTGGCCGCTCCAAGTCGGTTTCCTATATATCGATCTCTAAATAAAACCATCTGTGCGACGCTTTANCCCGCCATTAACCACTTCTTCCAATGTGTACTTGATGTTGGGATGAGAGGAATTAAATATCCTGAGCAAGTTGGAAACCTTGACGTTACTGTCCACAAAACATAATTGTCATCGATATATCGTCTGTACAGCTTACATCGCTTAATCGTAGACTTCAAAAAAATATTTTCTAGCTTGGACATGAATAGATCCGCAAATAAGGGAACGAGGACGAATCCTATTGTTACTCCATCCTTTTGGCGATAGATTGCTTCATTGAACTTGAACTGAACGTTCTGTGTGCACAAGTGAAATAGCTGTTTCAAGTCATCCAGAGTTATTGCAATTTCACTATTATTTTGCTGGATTTCGTCCATGGATATCATTCGTTGGCCATCCACATGCACGTTTCCGATTATATCTGTCACGGCGAAAGATTCCGGTAAAGTGAGGGTTGTAAGGGTTGCTCTCACTGGATCCAAGATTGTCACAAGTCATTGGGCCATTGCATGGGAAATTATACGTTTGAAATTGGCCTGAGGGGTAGTCCATATGTGTGTACTTTGGGTAAACCATACAACCTTTGGATTGTTGTTCCGATCGGTCAGATCAGTTCAAACGTGTTTGTATCTACGACACCTTTTTGCTTTAGAACTCCGATTATCTTTGACAGTTTTTGCTCTATCTGTTCCATTTTATCCTTTTCTGCGGACATCTTGAACTTTGTGCTGTCACTAAGTATGTTATTTATTTTGGAAACGTAGTCTGATCTGTTCAGTATGGCAACTCCTGTACCATTGTCTGGTCTGCATTGAATTATATCATGATTATTCTTCATCCATTTAACCGTTCTTGGTGTTGTGGTTTCACTAGATCTTTGATCATCGGTTTGTTACCGAGAAGATAATAGCATGTGTTCGCTAGTGTGGATTTCAGCTGGGCCACATTTTGCGATAACGAAGGCGATAAATCTGACGGTTGTGAGAAAAGCTTTATGAACCATACTTCTAGATTCAGTTTTTTAGTTCTTCCAATTGGACAACAGAACTGATGTCCTGAAGACAGAACTTCGAGCAACAACTTGATTAACATTATGCAGCAAAAAGTGTGCACATATCTTTCACGATTTGTTGGGAACTCATTGATGGGTATATGAGAACGGTGAATAATGATTAGAAATCTTGTCTGTATTTATCTAAATTGTTTTGACAGGGCCTTAGGTAAAAAATATATATGGTCTTATAATTTGATTGATGTATAAATATAACTTCTACCATTGGACAAAGTTAGTAGCTTGTATGTGCGTCTACAATGAACCGATGACTAGTTATGTAAGAACGAGATTGTGTGCCCACGAGGACAGATTTAGATTATGAATCAGTGAATTTCGTTTGTACTAAAACCCAATTCATTGTCTCCGACTTTTTTGAAATGGTTGCTCCCGTAGACGCTTTTAGATTTAGTGACGTAACTCGAATTTTAAGTGGTCACTTTTATTTTTACTGTTAATTCAAACAGTTGCTGATAGAACGAAAGCGAAAATGTAGGCTTCTCGACAACGTCATTAAAGGGGATGAAATGTGAGCGTACTCCGTGCTCTCGCTTCGCATCGGAGTGGTCAAAGATGCGGTTCATATTCTTCCGGCTGTAGACGATACAAGACTTTGCAGGTGGTGAAAGACGGCGGGGAACGACCGAAGAGAGGAGGAACACGGGATAGTGAGAAAACACTGGCAAACAGGTCATCCCTAGGTAGGGGTTCAAGGAAACCTTCAAGACAAAGCATGCAAAACGATATGAACCAGAACGTTCAGTGAGAAATAAGCATTCACAATAAAATATTACTGGCGAGACTGCCGAGTGTTACAGAGGCAAGCATATCAATTGTATAAAACAAAGTAATACTTGTGGAGTCTCAACATTGAATTATGGTAAGTTTGTTGCTTAAAGAACGCAACTTGAAAGAATGAAAACTGTCGAATGTATGGTTCATTAAAGACTACTGCATCCATCAGAATCACCATGAAAATCAGCTACCAGCAGTGCAGCAAAAGCAAAGCTCAATATTTTATACATAGCTTCATGAAGCGTTCGGTTATTTGCCAGCATAACCATTGATCTCGGCACTAGTAAATACTGCGAGGAAAGTTCAATTTAAGCAAATCAATTGCGCTTAGAGAATCCGATTGACTGAGAGAAAATGCTAATAAATAAAACTGAAATAAAATAAATAGCAATCATGATGTGTATATTATTATTCTACGTTCAGAGTTTTTAAATACAGTTAATATAAATCTATCAAGAATTTCTACCTAACACCATGATCATATAGAACTGTATCCACGTTTCGATACGAACCACTCATGTACAAGATGCTGATTTGAAAAAGGTGTATTAGTTTTCAATTTGGTACAATAAATGCCAAAAGTCAAATCAGGTTCCACTCTAACGCATTCCTGTGACAAGAATGCTGGCTGAACGTTTGATAAATTCTGAATAATTGTCACCACAATGCAACCTACGTTTACAGAACAATCAATAAAACTATGTTGCAATCTGATTTTAAATTCCTTTAAACATTTGCTTATTGGGATTATCACAAATTAAATAATAAAATTGGAAATTCTACGATTTTTGTGTCCGTTGATAGTTTCCCAGAGATTTTGTTCGTTCGTCGAAGCAACGTATATCGGCATACCAACATTAGGCTTTTCAAGCTTTTTAGAATAGAATTCTGCTGTTATTTTGTAACTTGATCAGTGTTACTGTGTGACATGATGAGAGTGCATGTATCACTTTGCGTATTCAGAAAACTTCCATTACCATCAAGACTGTCGTCTTTGTTCATCGATTCTTTACAATGTGTGAATTCAATGGATTGTATCCCTAACTTAACTTAGCGACCGATCCACCGATGATTTTAAACGCGATTAGTGCTTCGAGTGTTTGGAATTTCTGTGTAACAAACACCACTTCAAAATCGAAATTTCTTTGGATATAGTTCGAATGTCAATCAATTCCGATTACTTTTCTGGAAACACTGACAGGGTTCCCAATAATAATACATATGTAACGGTAAAATAACTTTTATTACAAGATGGGTATCACACACTATTAAGCATAGGTTTGTGTGTGGCTGTCTATCCGTGGTTGGGTATTCTATGGAATATCCGTGTTTTCTCAGAAGTGATATCTGGTTTTGGCAGCTTTTCTCAGTAAAATGGATCGTAACTGAATAAATGTGCTCGTAAAATAAGAGAAACCACTTCTCGGGAATTAGTTTTGGGCAGTGACCGTTATATATCTTTAAACGGCGAATTGCTACCAAACAGAATCATTTTTTAATTTAAACATATCATTTTGCATAGTCCATACCCGTTTTACTGATTTCATTTAATTTAATTCTAGATATTTTAGGCCTCATTGGTACACATATTTATCATGCAGGCGTTTGCCAGATTGTAAAAGAAACCTGTAACTCAAAATGTTCATTACGTCAAAGTTACTGTTTCTTTATATATATATATATATATATAACATTCAGTCTGGCAAAACTTTGGATTGAATTCACTTCTTTTACTTTAAGTTCAATATTGGATAAAGCATAAATCTCATTGGACTTGTTTTGTGTAAACTAAACGCTCGTCCTAGTGCTGCTGGTTTACGCATTTGATATGAGATTTTTTCATTTGTAAATCAGAATCACTTTAAATACGCTTCTTTCATAAGACCAGTTGAATCGTAGCTGGCAGTGATTGGTTCAAACAAATAAACCAATCCCGTGACGGTGTGGTGCATAATGGGTCAGCTGATTCGTGGATAAGTTTTACAGATCAATCGAAAATCAGAAAATCTAAGTTTTGCATTGAAAGAGGCACGGATCTTTTGTCAGGATGGCGTTGGTGGTAGTGATTGCAAAAGTGTTATTTATTCGTGATTATCTTTGATTGACATGAAGCAGATGATGAAACTAATATTTCCTTAGTTAATCAAAAACGTGGAATGGATATGTACAACGAGAAGCAATTTCGGAAACTCTGTGATAAATAGAACAAAAGCATTTCAACGGAATTATCATTCTCCTAAAACAGAAAATAATTAATAGCAACTGGTATTGTAAACATGCCTTTGAATGGCTCCAGTACCAATCGGCAGCTGACGGATTCACTCAAATCCACCACAGACACCGGATCAGTCAAACGTACACCGTCACAGAGTTCCTGCAAATTTGATGTGAAACGAATTGGACCGGAATGTGAAAACTATAGTCCCGGATCATCTAAACCCCAGACCGATGTTCGCAAGACGAGAATGGTGTATGTGGATGCACGAAAACCGAAAAAGAAACGTGTCAATGTATCCACTGCACCAATTTACACTGCAACAACATCCATAGGGCACGGATCCCGTGCACATACATGGTCCACGGCAATGCGCCGGCTAAAATCAGCAGAACACAGCTCCATGGAAGACCACATCATTCCCACTTCCCCGGGTGCTCAATCTTTCGGACGCAATATGGCACCTGTGGGGGATGACACTATTGGAAATAGTTCAGGGGATCATACAAGTTATTTGAGTGGATTAAGTGTTACAAAATTTCAACCGGTTGATGCTGGTGAGTTACACACTAATTTGAAAAAGATTGTAAAGTTGAAGGACAATATGGTGTATTGCTTATTAATTGCTATCAATCCTCATGATCGGCTTGCAATATAATGAGCTGAAAATATGGCAAGCTNGCTTACGTAAGGTTCGATTTGGAGAGAATCGCCGATATTTCTATCGAAGCTCCGCTTCACGTTCGGTTTGTATCAGGTTTAAACAATTAAAATTTTTCAAAAGGTGATTACTTAGAATTCCCTTTATTAGAGTAAATATTTATGGACTTTATACTGAAATCACCAAACCCGACGTAATAAACAATTGATTGTAGATTAGTGTTCTTTGCGATAATTGCGCGTATTAATCACATACACTTGATGCTCTTTATAGGCACTGGTTGTCAATCTAAATTATCCTGTCACGAGCCGAAAATCGTGTGGGATGTTGGTTTATAAGTGACCTATTCCTTTTCTCATTGAATTATTTTGCCACGTGTNCCACGTGTGCAGCAAACAAGTGCCCAAACAAAACACTTGTGTGTTAGGTGTATAATTGCAAATATTCAGCTCGTTTGGAATGACCTTAACGAACAATTTCTACCAAAATGTCAGGAATGTTACATCATTTATCAAAGGAGGTTCCATTGTTTATCCTAATATAAACGAGAAACAAAATACAGGTAATTACGTTTGGAAACGCCAGTAAGAAAATGACTTATGTTTGTATTGTCTGCGGTTGAAAAATAATAGACCAATCCATAATATTTGGTGACGTTGAGAGATAAAACGAAGGATGAGAGAATACGGCTTCACAAATGCTCGTTTTGTGTTCTAGTACAATTTATGCGTAATTTAGATGAGACACAAAACTAAAACCTGATGAGTCTCCTTTTCGGTGAAAACAAACAAAATATATTCAGGAAACGATATCAGTAATATTCCAAGATTTCAAACTTAGAAAAATTGCGACTATGTCCATTCAATGTTTTCTTCAGATTTCTGATTGTTTTAAAGTTAATTAATGAAAAGTTATATTGGTTTCCAGTGGGAACAGATCAGTACGGTTTGATTACTCTTTCCACGACTGATTTTATTTTGTGTTAGTCCACCAAACTGGTTGGTGTACTGGACCTAGCGTTTCACATCAACCACATCATGCACTTGGCGTTTGAGAGATTTATATACGAATTATCTAGTAAAAGGTATGCCTTGAGGTTCCAGCATTTAGTGTCAAACTGCAAATTTGTCCAATGTTCGTGATTACTAAATACATAATGTAATTGTAAAAGAGATCTAGCATTATTGCACTTATAGCTTCAGGACATCAGGGTTTGTCAACAAGCAAAATTGAGTAGGTTATAATATAATTGTGAAGGGAACGTACAGTTATAAGAATTAATTATTCTTTGTGTTAGACCATTGAAAAATTTCAACAATAACTTGGAGATGCTTGTCATTGCTCCAAATGATTGATCAAGAAAGATATTGTCAACCAATCCTGCATCATTTATTTGTATTTGTTTTCATTGAAGGGAGTAAATTAATTTCATGACTTTTCAGTTGGAATAGAATAATTCGTTGAAAAGTCAACTGTGATTTATGAGAATCCATTAATTTTAGTGGAGTAAGAGTACTTTTTAAATCAATTTAATGAACACTGAAGTATTTTGCAAACAGATAGCAATCGTGGTTCACGTTCATCAAGGACTTTAGCGGTTTAAGTGATTTGCTGTGCAATATTAATGAGTACTTAGTTTGAATCCGAAGCACAATGTATTATGTGTAACAAGTATCGTGTGTGGGCAAGCTTTGCTTCTAAAATCGGAATATCGGAAAGATCTTACCAGTATTCATATCGTTTTCGTCCTCTACTCACCCAAAGCTATACAAAGGGCGTGTATCCAGCTTAGTTGAGCTTCGATGCATCTTTTAGTTCTCTTATTCCTCGATTCTTTAACATTTTCTTCCATTCGTTTACGAGAGTTATCAAAACTCATGCAACTTTGATGTTAAAAACGTTTGGTTTGAACGTTGGAATCACGTCGGTTTTGCTCACAGGAGGCGACCTGGCACACACTCTTCAAAACGGTTTGTTTTCTCGATTTAAGATTAAATTTCTCCCACACCTGCTAGCCATCAAATGGTATCTTAGAGTAGTCTGCTACAATACCCGGTAATCGGGTATAACCATGGTGGAGACCGAAGAGATAAATTCTGTGCACGGTAACCATTTTCAGGCAGAACCTGTGAACTATCAAAGGTACATATTGTGATTATTCCATTTGCACATTTTCGTTGGCCAGCATTAATTTGGAATTTTGAGTTATGTCTTTGAACCTATCAGCAATGAAGCATATGTAATTATCGTTTCTTTCAATTGCCTATTTTGTACTCGCACATATTCTGTTGAGAATAACTCATTCAAAACTTAAGCATCCTTCCTTGATTCAGATCAGAATTTTCATGTTCTCCTGTATTGTATACTGGATTAATTATTTGTATTCTCAAAACACATCGGTATATGATAGAACGAGTATAATTAATTTGGCCAACAACCGTTCAGTTTGTGGGTATTTCGCACTGCGCAAAATATTTGACCATCATAACCGTCTTTTAGCAAGCCCCGAACATGCATGTTTAGTCGCCATAATAATCAATGGCATTTTTGTTGGTTTTGCTACATTTTTTCCCGGAAAACATTTTTCAATAAACAGTTTATTACGGTAGGCAATATTTTATTGACAAACGAGTCATTTGTTTACGAAAAATTCAAGTGTCATTGGAATGATGTGATCAAAATTTCTGTGGGAGTTGACTTTGTCAACCAACTGGCGTAGATGAAGAAGTTGATGGGTTTTTAGAACAAAACGGTACTTAATGATGGGAGACCCTTGTTTAAGGAACAAGCAGAACTACATAAGTCGAATTTAAATTGATGAATTGGCTAAACACGTAACGAACTAATCAGAGGCTTGAGAGGAAATCCAGTCATATTATCTACAATCAGGGTTTGAAGTTCCTACTTCGTACGTTCGGCTTCAAGTGCATTTCGTCATTTTGACTTTGAATTCTCCAAAACCATCAATAATCAATCAATGGGAATGTATGAAGAAAGCAGCTGGCGCATGAAGTTTATTACAAATACATTACTTTCTTTGGATGTTCTTTCCGAAATAATGATGAACAAAAGCATTCAATCAATTTAGTCACCAGTAGTTAATTCAACCCTGCAGAACTGGAAGAACTCCCGCTTTTGGCATTTCGCCTCGATTCAAAAATCTGTTTACATAACATCAAGAATGCTTGACTTACGAGAATTTCAATTGATTTACTAGGTTACTTTTGCCATATTTTATACATTCTCTTCTAATCACTTTGCTGTGTCCAAAGATTAATTAAATCGGTTTTGTACTTTTATCTGACCACACGTCAATATTTGACTGGTAATGTGCAGCATGCACGAGCTGAGTTCATCTGACTAAGGACTTGGTATTTGTGAATTTTTCCTATATGAATGCCACATTAAACAGAATAATTTATCTTGAAATATAACATATTGGTAAAAGTACAAAATATCATTGACAGTCGCATTGTATGTTTTAAACGGATCTTAATCGGTATGTATGATTGCGATCTGAAACAAAATACAAAATTCACTTGGGACAAACAAAATCTGAATTAAATTTACTAATAACAGTGTTGAATCAGAGGTTTACCCGTGTCGTTACGATCCAGTGTTAAATGAAATACTCCAGAATTCAGATTTAACGGTTTTTGGGGATGTTCAAAGACGATAAGCTTTTCAAGCGAATTTATACAGACGAGGTTTCTGAAAGGCCTCGATTACAGCCTGTAGTGACGAGCTTCCAAACCGGTCCCCTTACTCACAGACAACGAATCCACCACTGGTTAAACAGAAGACTTGTGTTTGTGACAGATATGTATTGAAGTAAAATGGCACAGCAAGCATGAAGGCAAAAAGGACCAGATAGTGCAATAACTTGCAAACGAGTGGAAAGCGCAGAGTAGAAATCCTAGCGCCGAAATATATAGCAACCGTATAAAATAAATGTCGTGATACGTTGGTACTGAAATTCGCGTGTGAAACAATAGTGAGATTGTAAAAGATAAGTGATGTGCGGGAATGGGGTAATTGGTTCACATATGGGTAATTGGTCAAACAGTTTATCTATTGATCGGCTTGATGAAAACAGCCCGGGTCAGGAAGGAAAGCTATTACTAAGGGATACAAATACTACACAGATCATTAGTTACAGGATTTGCAAAAGCAATGCGTATGACAATCAATCAACGACAGCCTGAATGATGTGGTTTTCATTTGGCAGGGGAACGCTATTGATGGATTATACGATATAAGTGAAAACGACATTTCACCTTTTTCAAAAGGGCGCAACTAAAGGATTTATCAAATTCCTAAACACTTCTTGCAAATTAAAATAATATCATTCAGTGCGTAAAGACAAAAAATAATAATCCTTTTATTTTCTTGATATCATAGTTCTAATTCAAGTAACAATCAATACGAATATCTCTTCTGACTTCAACAGTAACTTTTCCCATTTTAGGATTAATAAACGGTATTGCATGACAATTATCCAACCTCCAATAACAAAAGTGAACATCCAGTTAAACAATTTGAAACCATTCTCAAACATCACCGTGAGCTAACCCCCAAATCAGCCACTGAAAAGAGGCGTTTCCGATACTTTTACTGATCAAGTAATTTGATGTTGTAAAATGATATTTACTACAGAGTAATACATATCTAGTTGAGTGTATGAAAAAACCGGAAGAAATTCCATATAAAATTACTCAAATTGTTTATTTTTTCACTTTATTTGAGATCAAAACCGCAAAACTAGTTGCATTCCCGGTGATTTCCTGGCCGAACTGCTCGTAGTTAAATTGCAAGGTAAACATTCAGAAACGAATCGGTTAATTAAGTTTTTCCCCAAAGAAGCTCTCACTCGTAGTCGTCAGTTCTTATGTAACGACCAGCATTAAATCGTTTGAATAAAAAAAAAATTGTTGCACAGAAACCCACGTCCAGTGAGAGAACATCTCATGAAATGTCTTCCGTAGATGCTATTCACA